AAAAACCGAATAATGTTTAGAAAAAATCATAAAGGAAAACAAAAAAAAAAACATTTTCAAAAAAGTATCTTATCATATGTTATAGATTTTTTTTTTTTTTTTTTTTTTTTTTTTTATTTTTTTTTTTGCTTTTTTAAGCAAAATCTATTGACTTTGTAATCCAAACAAGCATTTATTAATAACCCTAAAAAGGCATTTAAATAAAGATATTTAAAAAAATGTGTTGAGTATTTGCACTGCTAGAAATTTGAATGCCACAAATTGTAGAAATTGGGAATAAAAAAGGTGATTTAATATAATTTAACTGGAGTACTTATTCGTATTATTTAAAAAATAATAGTTTGAATTTTAAAATTTTCTAATTTGCTATTCAACATAGTTGTTTTTTACAGAGCTCAGTCGTCGGCGGYCTCTTGATTTTTACCGAATTTCCTTCCAGATACAGATTACTCTTAAGATCCAAGTATAAGGAAAGCTCATTGTTTTCTATGATTTCATTCTTCAAACATTTTATTACTATTTTTAAGTTAGTGAGCTTCTGCTTTCGTAAGCGGCAGCTGTATAGATATCTGTATAGCTGGTTCTTTTTGATTGATGATTTGTTAAATTCAGAAATACCACTGAAATCCGAACATATATATTTTTTAAATCCACCATATCATGGAAAGACCCCTCAAGAAAAAAAATTAAATATATTAAGGGGTTGTTTTATTCACTTGCAAGTGAGGAAACAAAACTTTTTTTTTATTTTTTTTACAAAAGACATTTTGTTTATTAGCTCTTCACCAATCTCCAGTAAAACTTTCGAAACAAGCTGTGGAATAATTTTTTTTTGCTTAAAATGTACTCAAATAAAAAAACAAAAAAATTATTATTACTACTATAGATGAGTTTTGACCAGATAAAAATGATCGAAGCACCAGTCAAAATTTTTGCTTTTCGACTCAATGCTTTCCAAAAAAATAAATGTTTTATGTGAAAAATGTTACCTAATATTGATACAATAAATAAATACTAATAATACTACTTAGGGAGTGTATTTTTTTTTTTTTTTTTTTGATTAATTTTTTTTTTTTTTTTTTTTTTTTTTTTTTTTTTTTTTGATTAAAACCTATACAATTTTTATTTGTTTCAATCGACGTTGCTATATAGTATAATAATTTTGTTCACCTAACGGTTATTTGAAGAGTTGAAATCCGAGTAACTGTCTGCCTGTAGGCAGACAGATCAGTGCAAACCATGTAATTTCATCTGTTTCTTCCATCTTCCAAAATGCAAATCAAGTCGAATGTATTGTAAAAAATTTACCTAAACAGTGCGCTTCAAGTAGAGCACCTTATGACTAAGAAGGGCCCCAATCGGGTCAAAACTATTCAAGTCTTCATATAGCGAATATGTGGCAATTTATTTATTTTTTT